CCGCTCTTCGGCACCCTGCACCCCGGCTTCTACACGAGCAAGCGCGATGCCTTCACCTACGAACGCCGGCCCCAGTCCCAGGCCTACATCCCCCACGACCAGGGGGACTTCTACTACATGGGGGCCTTCTTTGGGGGGTCAGTGGCGGAGGTGCACCGGCTCACCAAGGCCTGTCATGAGGCCATGGTGGTCGACCGGGCCAACAACATCGAGGCTGTGTGGCATGACGAGAGCCACCTGAACAAGTACCTGCTGCTCCGCAAGCCCACCAAGGTGCTGTCCCTGGAGTACCTGTGGGACCTGCACATGCTGCCCTGGCCCTCCGTCCTGAAGAAGCTGCGGTTTGTCGCTGTACACAAGAATCACCAGGAAATCCGGAACCGCTAGCGGGACTGGAGGGCGGTGGTCAGCAACGCCAAGGGCATGCAGCCCGAGCTGCACTGGAAGGCTTTTAGAGAAAAGGCTTAGTGCCCAACCTTCCTTTGACACTGGAAGTTGCTGAAGCTCCCCTCCCCCATCTCCCCACCTCCGTCTCCCCTGTCCTCCCAAGGCCAGCAGGCAGGCCAGGCACCAACTGCTACAGAGACAGGCCTCTACTTAGGTGCAAGTCGGGGTCTCTAGGATGGATGACCTTGCCATGGGCCCCCACTGTGAGTCCTCGGCTCTCAAGGCAGGTGGTCGCAACCCCTCCACAGAAGATGGATTAAGTCAGGGGCTGAAGAGCCTGGTTCTGGGCCGTCTTCAGCTTCAGGCTGTTTTCCTGCTCCTCTCTGAGTTCTGGTAGCAGAGCAGATGCTGGAGGATGTCCTTCCTGCCATGCTGTGCGGGGAGGCTTGGCGGTGAGGCTTTGGGTCAATGATGGCCTGGAGAGGCCATGGCCTCTGCCCAGCCCTGAGGAGGCTGTAGCCAGCTGCCCCCGTCCCTGGGCCTGAACTCAGAGCCTGGATGCTGTCCCTGAGCTTTTGTGCTCAAGTCTAGCACCCTACTTTTTGAGCCACTGCTCTGCTTATAGCTTTTTGTTGGTTAATTGGAGGTAAAGAGTCTCATGGACTTTCCTTCCAAGGAAAGATTTGAACTGTAGTCCTCAGATCTCAGCCTTCTGAGTAGCAAGGATTACAGGCTTGAGCAACTGGTGCCTGGCAATATCTTGTTTTAACTTGGGGTTCTCCTGTGACATTTGATGTGAAATGATTTTTCATAGTTACTTATCATTTGTGACTTTTGTGGGGGGTACTAGAGATTAAACGCAACACCTCATGCTTGCTAGGAAAGATGTCTACCACTGGAGCCATGCCTCCAACCCACCTTCTGCCCAAGTTTTAATTGGTTTGCTTTTTATCATTGGATTTGGAGAGTTCTTTGTATAATTTATGCACGTTCTTTATCATTCTGCATTTCACATTTCCATATTGGGCTTGACTTTTTATTCTCAATAAAACCTTTCATCAAGCAGAATGGTGTTTATTGTTTCCTTTCATGTTGTTGTTTTATTTCATGGATCTGGGGCTTACACCCTGGGCCTGGACACGGTTCCTGAGCTTTTGTGTTCCAGGCCAGTGTTATCCACTTGAGTCACAGCTCTACTGTCAAATTTCTTGGTTAATTGGAGATAAGGGTCTCATGGAACTTTCCTGCTGAGTTGGCTTCAAACTGTGGTCCTCAAATCTCAGCCTCCTGTGTAGTTAGGTTTACAGGTGTGAGCCACCGATACTTGGCTAGAAGTATTGAATTAATAAATTTTTGTGCCAATAATGGGGCTTGAAACTCAGGCCATCCAGGTCTCAATTGGCTTTTTCACTCAAGTCTAGCACTCTGCCACCTGAGCCATACCCCCACTTTTCTCAGTTTGCTGGAGGTAAGAGTCTCATGGACTTTCCTGGCATACACTGTGATCCTCAGATCTCAGCCTCCTGAGTAGCTGGGATTACAGGTGTGAGCCCATTAGTACCTGGCTAGTGTTTAATGAAGTTTATCAGTTATAGTTTAGGACTTGTACCTGAGACACCTCTGCCAAGGTCACTTAGTCACAAGGTCACCATGTGACACCTTCTAGGAGTTGATGCATGAGCAGGTATCTGTTCTGCTGTGAGTTTTTTTTTTGCAAAGTGTGTGTGTGTGTGTGTGTGTGTGTGTGTGTGTGTGTGTGTGTGTTTGAGAGTAAGAGTGAGCGAGCGAGCGAGAGAGAGAGACAGAGAGAGAGGATATCCAGTACCAGTCCCACTTGTGGACAGGCTGTCCTGCCATGGTGGACTTGCCCCTGTGCCTCTGTGGGGGGACTCGCCTGTACTTCTCTGGCCTTCACTCTGCAGCACGAAGTCTGAAGGACTGTAGCTGTGTGACATCAGGACGCGGCAGTCGTCCAGTGTGCCATGGCCCATCAGGTGTTCCTGGCAGAGCTAGACACAGAGTTCTAGTAGGCCTGGGCAGGTCTGAGTCCCCAGGGCCTGTTCTCTGAGGCTCAGCCCTTTGTTTCTGACTGTTGAGCAGAGGAACACGTGGCCAGGAGTTTGGGTGGCATTGTCTACACCACGCTGGGGGACCCCAGGCATTGCTTGAGTAGCATTAGGTTCCTGTCCCTGCTCGCCTGGCAAGCGTCCCCTGTGGGAGGGAGTGCCTCAGTGATGTGTGGCCCTTCCTGTGCCAGGTGAGACAGGGACCTAGAGCCTGAACCGCCGAGGACCTGGCAGGAAGCAGCTCCTGAGGGCATCCCCAGGGAGCGGGGCTGTGTGGGGTGGGAGCCCCCGGGAGACAGTCATGTCCAGGGGCACATCTGGAGGGGGAGGGGTGTGCTTATGACCCCACATGTATGCGTCTCCCGCACAGTGGGCGCTGCTGCCTCCAAGTCTATCCACCTGGGGACAGTGGGCTGGGGGTCGGGGTCGGGGTCATGCTGGCCAGTGGTGGTCATGGTGTAGGCCAGGCCAAGGCACCAGCAGGACACTCTGGAGAGCTTTGGTGTGAAGCAAGAGCTCAAGGGCCAGGCGTGCAGAGATGACCTCACACCCCTGACAACGGGTCAGAGAACTTAGAACCCTGGTGGCTCGAGGCACCCACAGTCCACACGAGCCCCTGCGGAGGACTTGTGTGGATTGTTCTCTCTTGAGAAAATGTTCGGCTTTTGTTGTACTGGTGGATGCCTAGGCCTGAGCCAAGAGCGGAGAGGGTGCTGGGGCCGCTTGGGTCGACGCTTGGCGCGCCCTGGCCTCTGCCGCCGCCTCTCCAGATTGTGCCGGAGGAATTCGCAGGTGACAGGGGCAGTGCGGGCAGGAAACCTCCCATCTCCCTGCTGGTCACCCGCTCTCCCTGCGGGGTGTGCCCCTGTGTGTGTGCGTGGGCCTGTGTGTGCGTGCCTCTGTGTGTGTGTGTGTGTGGTCATTTGTGTCTGGGTATTTGGGTCCGATGAGTGGCCATGAGTGTTCTTGTAGTTCTCTGGATGCCACTTGAACTGCCCCTCCTTGGTTCTCCTCCAGCATGGTCCTGACCCGTCCACAGACACGGAAGAGGCCGGCGGGGCAGAGTTCCTCGAGGCAGGAACACTGGAGGAGCAGGTGGAGCGCTTGGTGCCTGCCCAATTGCTGGAGGACTCCATGTTTATCCACGCCTTCCTCAATACCTACAGGGAGGTGGCGGACACCCCGCAGGTCCTGGACCTGCTGTTCACAAGGTGAGCGCCAACTCCAACCGCATGGGAGCCCTCACCTGCAGTGGCAGCCTTGCAAATGGAGCTGGCAAGTGGGGTGCTCACAGAAACTCGTTGGTTGGCGCTTGCCAGTGCGTGGAGAATCACACAGGGAGGTCACAGGCTGGCACCATGCAGGGTCCCGTCCAGGACTGTGGGCCATGCTTTGTGACTCTGCTTCTCTGAGGCCGCAGACGAAGCAGTATGTCTGCTTGGCCAGAGGGAAAGGTTTCTCTCTGTGACGAGGGACCCAACCTAGGTGTGGACAGAGCAGGGCTGGCGGGGCAGAGGGAGGGCGTCTGAGCTCCTAGGATCATCAGGCAGCAGTGGCTTGTGCGCATCGTGGCACATAGGAAGGAGCTCCAGGGGAAGGTTCGATTTCCAGGCCCTGAGCAGAGTGGAGAGAGAAGAGCGGGAAGCTGCCGGCTGCCCCAGGCTGGCCAGTGACGCTCAAATCCTCACCAGGTTCAGCAATTGTGAAGCGCCCATGGACCCCACCGGACAGACAGACACCCTCGCCCACTCCTGCGAGGATGTCATCCCTCGGGACCAGCTCTGTCAGTGAGTGGGCTTTGGTCTCCTTGGAGGGCGCATGGCTCCACACTGGTGACAAATGTGTGTGTGTTGGGGCGCAGGAGGGACGGCTGGGCCAACTCCGGAGCCCTCAGCTCTTGTGCTTATCCCTAGAGCCTTGAGCTGTGGGGCTTCTTCTGGAGCCAGAAGGAAGAAAGCAGGTTGGGGGGGTGTTTTGAGCAGGAGTAGAGGGTGGGACTCAGGGCTGAGCCCCCCACTCCCACCACCATGTACATCCATCGACCACAGAGCCCGAGCCATGCAGGCTTCTCCCAGCACACCACGAGCCCCAGAGTAGGGCCAGGGTCATCTATGCTTGGTCACAGCCCTCAGCAGGTGTGAGGGGTGGGTGTCAAAGCGCAGGGCCATGCTGTGGCACCCACACACAGAAGGAGAGCAGTGTGGATGTAGCCAGACCACGCAGTGGGGCCCATGGCGAATGAGGCAGCAGACTCCACACAGAGGTGCAGCAGAACCCTATGCATGCCAGGCTGGACAACAAGCCATGTTGCTGACCAGTGTGTAGAGGCCCAGGGGAGCAAGGAGGAAGGGGCTGGAAGGTGCAGAGGAGGACAGAGCTGCTGGCCCAGCATTTGGTCGTGGATCTCTCCCTTGAGTTTCTCTGCAGGCCTTTCCTGGGCCAGCCTGCCACTGGTGCCACAGCCCCAGGTGCTGGTGTTGGGTGTGCTGGTCTCTGCAAGGACCGCCACCATCACAGGGGCGAGAGGGAGACCAGGGGCCATGCTGGCCTGGAGTCCGAGTCTGCTCCCCACCCATCTGTCCCTAGTGCCATCACGTGCCTCCTGGGCTCCTGGCTGGACTTGCATCCGGAGGACTTCCTGGTCCCCGCACAGCTTCCCTGCCTCCAGCGCCTCCTGACTCACCTGAGGCTGCATATGCTGGACTCTGACATAGAGCGCTATGTCTCCCATGTCCTGGCGCAGTTGGGGATCAACACACACAGCCAGGGCGAAGCTACGGGGGCGGAGCCTGGGCCTGAGACACAGCCCGTGCAGGGGTGGGAGGGGAAGGGCAGCCCTGGGAGGAGGCTCCCACATTCCATGGGCCAGCAGCCCGAGGAGCCTGAGGCCCACCGTGGGCTCAGGAGGGAGGTTGAGCAGTGGGGTGTGTGGTT